GAAGCTCAATTTGAGCCATTCAGACTTTTTCTCTAATGTCCTATTAATGTGAGACCAACAGAAGTATATATGGCAAATCTCCACTTTAGGGAAGATGACCATGAAGGACCATGAATATCTAAAACTGTTTGTCAGTTTTAGATATTCTTTAACTTACTAGATCTGTATTATTTGGAAGAGTTCATTTCACCTTTTAAATCAGAAACTGCCTGTGACTTCTTTCTTTGACATCAATATAATATGATATGAAGATACAATATCAGATGTAACTACCTCTGACTCCAACCATCCTACTCACTGGTGAAAAGAAAAGATAGGAATCAGTAGATAAGGTATAAATGGCCTTAAGATTACCAAACTTAACATCCTTCTGTTATGAAATACCTAAAAATGAAACCCTGAACTATCAAAAACATTCAAAGAAAGACTGCAAGATGACCTGACTTACTAAGATGTAGTCACCCACGACTGTGATCCCAGCATTCTGGGAGACTGAGACTGGAGGCATAAGTTTGAGCCCAACCTAGGGCAACTTACTTATGCAGGGAGATTGTCTTGGAAAAAAAAATGGGATGCGGATATAATTCAATGTGTTCAATATGAAGGCTCTGGGTTCAATTCCAGTACTAAAAAATATTAAATGCCTTTTTTAATTTTTGAAAAAAGGTCACTTCTGGTAAATATTATGAAAGTGTAAAATTCTATGGTTATTATCAAGAAGACCACAAATAACAAATGCAAAAGAGAATGCAAAAGAAGCAATTCTCACCCCTTACTGATGAGAATGTAAGTTAGTACAGCCACTCGGGAAACAAGGATGGAGAATCCTCAAAAACTAAAAATAGAGGTATCATATCATTCAGTAATTCCATTGTTAGATATACAACCAAAGAAGAATCTTTATGTATATACATATTAAAAGGGTCAAAACAGATTATAATACTATACATGTAGTATTTATATATTGGTTATATAAAATATATATTACATATAAATATATATAATATATAAAGTAAATAAATATATGTTAAAATGATCAGAAGAGAATAAAATTAACAATACACAGTGATTAATAGTTGAGGTGTAATTTGTATTAGTCTGATTGGATCATTATACATTGTATACATACACTGAATTACCATAATGTGTCCCATCAAAGTACAAATATTATGTGTGAATAAAACATTTAAAATAAAGAATAAAATTCTAATTTTTATTTCAAAGAAGTTGATAATAATATACAAAATGACGAATAAAGGGTATGAATTCCAGTTAATTTTTAAAAAAGGAAAACAGCCTCATGGTTGATATGGGACTCTAAATACCTGTATTTTGTAAAGAAAGAAAAGATCTAAAAGACTGTACCAATCACTAATTAGGAGTATATAAAAGCAAGAAGTCATCACCTGCTATTATGCCTTGGTGTAAAATGAAGGGAAATAATAGGTTTACATATGTTTAAGTGTTTTAGTGAATGTTTTAATATTTTTTGCATTCTTTTACTATCTTTTATCTCCTCTGGGTTTGGATAACCATATTTCAATTCATTCTGAAGAAATAAAACAAAAATCTTAATAAACATAATTTCTTATTATAATTAATATCAAAGAATACAAAAACCAAAGAACAAATATAATGTGTACTCTAAGAAATAATGAAAAACTTCATAACAAAATTAAACAAAATATTATAGTAAGTTCATATGTAAGAGAATATGTTTTTTAGCCATAATATCAGAAATATTAAAAATTCTTAAAAGTAATTCAAGAATTTAAGAATAGAAAAGAAACATCTATCAATGTATCCTGTGAAGGTGGCTCTGAGAGTATGGTACAAAACCAAACTGCTCAAAAACATGTGACTTTATAAAGTAATTAAGAGCAACAACTATTTGAAGAACTAAAGTTCATTGAAAAACTAAAACTATTTCCGCTGGCTTTCCTATCCTTTTGTGCTAATGCTACCGTCCCCTCCAGTCCCTGCTTTAGTTTCTTTCTTCTTTTACAACAATAAGACACTGGCTATTGCATTTCCAGACCTGGGAAGCTGAGGTGGGGGGACAGCTTGTGTCTGGGAATTATGGGCTCTAGGTACTGTACTAACTCCAGGTTCTCACTAAGTTAGCATTAAATGGCGAACTGCCACAGCAAGGGGACCACACACTGGCTAATGAGAAGTGAACCGGCCCAGGTAAGAAACAGTAGACAAAACTCCTGCACTGATCAAAACTATGCATAAACTAACATACATTTTTGGAAGTACATGCAGGGAGGATACTGCCATTTGGTAGTCACTGATAGAGTCACAAAAGGCTCTGGGCGTGGGGTAGAATAATAGGGAGAGGAAGGGAAGAAAGAGGGATTAAAGATTTGATAAGCTTATGTACCAATACGACGTGATAAATACATTCATTACATATCTTAAATATATACTAATAAGCAATTAAAACAAAAAGAGATTTGTGCATATGGTCTTGGTCTTGAAATAGTCAAAATAAATATTAACATTTTGGACTCCAGTTGACTGAGGGCGGCTGAAGCCATGGAAAGTGAAATCACAGAAAGAGGACTACCACATAACATCAGTTCGGCTACTTCAATGGCGTGCATGTGACCTTCACAAACCTCCTTCGCAAACCATGTGTCTGGGTATCAATGTCATTCATCTTACTGTGTGCATGTGAGTGTACGTGTGTGAGCGTGTATATGTATGTAGGGGAAGAGAGTGAGGGAGTATAAAATGTGAAAGTGGTTAAACAGATTAACAGTGGTTAAGATTGCACATTCAGGTGCTAGAATGCAAACTATTCACATGCTGTACAATCTTGGAGAAGTCAGCTAACCTACAACATGGCAATACTTACATAAAGTTAGTACCAAATGAGTGGCTGTTTCCAGCATTAAATGAGTCTGAAAATTAAATTTATTTATCAATATAAAGTTATTAGGTTAGTGCCTGGCACATGCTCAAAGGCTTTAGATACTATTATATGTGTTACCAGAGTATAAAAGTACTTTTTAAATGTCAAATTAGATAAATGTATCAAGTTATATAAATACATGCTATAGTCTGTCTCCAAAGTTTTATGTGCTGGAAGCTGGGTCCCTAATTAACAGCAGTGAAATGTGGTGGGACCTCTGAAAGGTGACGCCTAGTGGGAAGCTATTAGTTCTTGGGGTGCCATTCTTTGGGTGAGCGGGGTCTCACACTGGATTCGTTATCACCAGAGCAAAGTGGTATAAAGTGAGGCCACCCCACGTTTGGTCTCTTCTGCCTTTCACACAATCTTCAGTGCTCTTGCACATGCTCTCATCACGTCACCACCTGCAGCCAGATGTGGCCTTCCGAGCTGGGGCTTTCTGCCCCAGAAGCCAGAAACAAACCAACATTGGCCTCACAAAGTATTCCTGACTCAGGTGCTTGTTATAGCAACACAAATGGTTTAAGAAGACAGGATATGAAAGAAATATTACGTTCTTAAATCTAGCAGAGACTAATTTAAGATACATGCTCACATTTATTAATTATTATTTTACTGCCATGCTAAGAGTCTGTTCTCTAAAGAAATACTACTTTTATGAATCTTATGTAGGAGATGATGAGTCTCATCTTAGGGAACCTCATTTCATGAACTTTATTCTTTCCAAGATTCTGGTAACAAACAACTGGACAAGAACTGAATCAAATTTTCCTATAAAGTCAACATAGAACCTAACTATTGTACTTGTTTCAGTTCTTGTTCAACTTGGTTTGTGACCAGAATCACGGAAAGAATTAAGTCAAGGTTTTTCTATACTCTCCCCTTAGAAATTAAATTTTAATATCTCAAAGAAAATTATTTTTGATAGTTGCCTCATATACTTCAATTATGTATTCTGTTCTATAGACCAAATGATAGAAACTAATTAACGCAAAATTCACCTATCTATCCTTCCACTATCAGTCATTTCTTTAACAAACATTTTCTCACTCACTACAAAGGTGTTGGCCAAGTGCTGGGCACATAACGTATAGAGAAATTTCTCAGAGGGAAAGAAATTTAAAAACTGTAAATGAGACATTAGTTTGTGGAGAACAATAAAGCAGTAGGGAGAGGGGGAAAAAAAAGCTAGCGAGTGAGTGGCCTGCAATAAATTCAATGACTTTACATGAGAAGGGCCTTAAATTAAAAACACAGCAGAATTGTTTCCGACTTTAAAAAAAACTAACATATCTCAAGGATAAAATACGACCCAAGATTATACACATATCTATATCAATAGCTACATATTCACTAATAGCAAACAAATTTTATGATACATTATTATACATAAATTCAACAAAATAAAAAATAAGTAAATAAAGGCAGAAGCATATAGAATACAGAATGTCAGGCAGAGAACATACTCCTAATGATGGTTTTTAACTTTAATATTAAACTTATTTCTTAGATTTATGTCCACCCTCAAAAGAAAATATGAACATAGGATAGTTTCTTTTTTTTAACCATACAATACAGCTTCTTATTTTTTTTGGTAGAGGGTGTGTATAGGTTTGGAAATGGTAGTTAATAGATTTCCTGGCATTAATTCTAAGAACTTCATCAAGAGACTCTTTAAGAAACTCCAGTAACAGCATTGCTAAGTATGTAACAGGGGCCATCCAAAAGAAGGAATAAGTAAAATTTTCAATCATAATTCAAAGGGGCTACCATTTTGAAGGACAGGGTGATCACCTAGCTCATTCAAGGAAATCTAGCTTACATATTTTATCCTCATTTAAATACTAGCACTACCCCCCTTCCATTACATTATAAGAGGAATCTAAGATGGGATGATAAATTATGTGGTCACCTTTTAGGGGGAACTTAGTCTGAATATGAAACTTAATAGTAACCTTCTTTTACAGGAGTAAGGCCTTTATAAAACAATTTATCAAACTTCAGTAAATGAGTGACAACAATCTAAATTAAAAGAAAGGATAAAATATTTAAAACCAATGTAGTAATACTATGAACTCACACTTAGAATTGAAAGCAATTCTTCAGTACTGCATTCAGGTTTCAAACGGTCCTTGAACATTTTAACTGTTTGGTGCTTCAAATAGTAATAGGAAGCAATTCGGCCATATGTCAAAGCTTCAATGCTCCGATTATCCTATTTCAAAAGAAAAGTAAAGTGACATAAGTCAAAAAGTATAATGTAGTCACATGTCTTCATATAATTATAGCTCATACTGCATGTTGCTACTGCAACCATTTTGTTAAAAATTTGGCATTACTAGAGGAAAAGGTGCTATTATTAATAAGCTGGACAAGTGGAATATACAGAACTAAGTTGTACCTCTCCAATTTCAATACAGTAAGAAAGTTCCAACTCGACCAGGGATTTCTCAATCAGATGGGACAGAAACTTGTTCACAGAATCATGGCTCACATCACCCAAATTGTAGTAGCTAGAAAACAAGTAAGATTATTAGTTGTTTTAAGACACATCCCACTAAAATTATCACCTCAGTTATTGGTCTTTTCAGAATTTCAAAACTGTTGAATTATATTTATATCATATCAAAGAAATAAAGCACTGTAGTTACCAGTCGTGTTTTACAGATCAAAAGTCCTATACTAAGGCTTGTTGACACCAATGAAATGATAATACATTGAAAATACAGAAGAAAAGCAATTAAAATTAGTCATCACATAAACAGAACTATGCTTCTCATGTTAAAACTGGTTATTATTTCAGTTTATCCCACTATCATAAATTAAAATTATGCACCTGAATTTATAAATGTCAAATATGTGTAAATATATGTATATATAAATATGGAGTGCTTTTTGTTTATGAAATACCCTTAACTTTATAAGACTCAATAAACTATTTATTTGTGTGAATAGATAAGTTCTTTCAGAAAATTTAGTCGATTATTATTCTCCCAATACTTAAAGAGTAAGTGTCATCCTAATCACTGCAAGGGACACTGACATGCTAGATCTAAAGCATTCTAAGTTTCAGTGTACAGAAAACACATAGGTTTAGCTCTGTGTGCTACCCAAGGACATGCAATACACCTGAATGCTCTTCCCTGCAACTCCAGATCTTCACAAATTCCCATGATCACTTACAGTCTATGGCTGGGGAGAGCCAAAGGGCCAGGCAGTATATTCACAGTCCTGACAGTTTTCTAATTCCTGATCAGTGAACCCTGTACCCTGTTAAGCACAGAGGATTTATATACCTTATGTCCTCATTCCTTATCCAAATCAGTAAAGAATCAGTACAGAACTTATCCAAATCAGTAAAGAATAGGAGTGGAAAGTGGTCTTAGAATCTTACAACAGGGTTTCATCAGTAAAAGCTCACTATGGCATTTTTACATCTCTACAGAACTAGAAAGGTGATGTTTATAGTTGGGGATACAGTGGAAGAAGCTGATAATCTGCGTGGGGATTTTCTTTTTTCTTTAAAGGGAAACAGTTGGAGATAGTATAAGATTAAAAAAACATTGAAAACCACAAGAAGCTAGACTTAAAAAATGTGAGGATATATTTTCATTAGAAAGAAGTTAATTGTCAATGTTCTAAGTACATCCAAATATTAGGGTTTGCATTAAACAGTGATTAATAAGGTAAAAGAATTTATTTGGCAAAATAACCTCTCAAAAAAAAAAAGATTAGTTACTTTTAGTCTACGGAATAAGTACGGCTCTTCTTAACAAAATTTTTTATGAAATAAAGTAAACTTTTCAATGAAGAGGTAAGTATCAAATGCTATCACTAATCTAAATATTCAAATTTATGTCCATGTAGGGCTATATGAAATTGCAAATCCAGCATTAGAAACTATTAGAAAATGTTTCCTTTACCCTACAAAATGACAGTTAAATATTTAGTTAGAATATGCTTTCTGCTTTAGACATAAAAATGAAACTTGCGAACACTCAAAATTTCATAAAAAAGGCAGAGACTCAAATCTATCCCAGATTATTAAAAATATTTTTCTCTTTCACTTTTCCAATAATCAAACTCCTCAAACTTTGTATAAAGTATGTGCTTACTGTGCATTCACAATCTTTTGGCTTGTTAAGTATAATTTTCAATACTATTTGCAATTGTCTGGACTAACACACAGTTAAGAAGGTCATTCCCAAATTGAAAATACTATAAACATATGCCCAAGACAATAGGCAAGCAGTACTATGGACAGAGTAATAATTAACAAATTTTTCCTGTAATAAAATCATAGTAAGTATTACCATTACCATGAAATAAAAATAAACATACTTTTATTCATAAATTTATTAGTTTTTTGCAAAAAATCTCATAAATGTTATTGGTGAATAATATATTATCTGAAAAAGAAACAAGCTGTTGTATATATATGTACCCACTTCCCAAGATGATTGTAAACTTCATGTACTGTGAACATGTACTAATATAATTTTTAAAAAGATAAAGACATTACAGAATGCCGACTTTGTCTCTTTATGCTTTAATAAGTAAGTTTGGTACACTTGCAAATAATAATTCCTTCAAAAATGGATTTTAAAAACATTTTATTTAGTTTTGTTCATTGTATTTTTTTATTTTATTCACCATATTTACAAAATATATTTTGATGGATTAATATATTCCTTTCAAAGTATTTTAAAGTATTTTAACTGGGAATCTTCTAAACACTACTTTTTTATTTTCATCCAGATGAAACAGAATCAGAACACTTCTTAAAGATTTGAATTGTTGCCAAAAAGAGAAAAAAACCTCATTAAAATCAACTTAGACCACAACAAATTACCTGCTGTCTTCACTAAAATATTACTCATAATATAATCAGCTACAAATCAATAAACATTTCTCTGAGCAGAATAACAACAACAATAACAACAACAAATCCCCCAAAAAATGTCATGGATAGTTATTCTTAATTTACCTTCCCAAATTTGCACAGCAAAATTCCTAATGTACAGAAAAAAAAATCAAGTAATTGAATGTTACTGATCTTTACCAAGTATCATTCTTTGCAAATATATGGACTAAAGGGAATCATCACTTAAAACATCCTAAAATATTTATAAAAGTAAGATTTTTTAAAAAAATTTGCAAGGTATTATAAAATAATAAAATTAAATTTTGGTTGATAAAATTTTAAGAGTAAATATATTTCACATTTTCCTGTGAATTAAGCATGGAGTTTAGATTTACACTTATAGAGATTAGTAGGTAATTTGGACTTTACTTCTAATAAGTGCACTTTTCAGTTACTGTGCAATCTTAACAAGTAGAAGCATTTGACTTAAAATTTTATCATTAATTTCAATAATTATTTTACTAACTTAAAAAAAGCATGTACCAGATACATAAGAAGTCTGTGTTTGTGTTGTACTTTCCACAGTACAAAATATATAATTTAGTGGTTATTTAAACAGAAATCTCGCATAAACTGCTTAATCACAGATAAATACAATGTAGTTTCAGGCTTACTGCATTGAATCATCAAGTCATTATCTTTCCTTTGCTATAAACAGATAGCCTACCTTTTTGTCAGCATGCTATTTCATTTATTTCACAGAGAAACCCAGTTTCACAATAATTGACTTGTCAGAAGCTCTAATTTATGAGACCAAGCTCTGCAAGATTTCTCTATATTGGACTCAACCTGCACACAAGCAGGGTTGAATATTTACAATGCTGTTAACAGGTGCTGAGTTGTTTAATGATTCTAATAGCCAGAAGCGGACTGAGCAAGCCAGCGGGATCACAATTACAGGCTGTTTGAACACAACAATTACTAGTCCCCAGAGAGGTGTGAAAGTCAAAGGCAGTTTGATACTGACAGCATCTAGCACATGGGCTAGACATGCTAACTTATATTAGCAGCCCATTGGGAAAAGGTCGTAACAAATCTCTCCTTGTCATAAAAACTTACAAAGTTCATAAAATTTAAACAATCAAAAACTAAAACAACTTTTTAAAAATTATCCTTTAAAAAACCATAACAAAGGATAAACAAGAATCATGAAACCTCAAGTTACCTTTTATCAACCTTAACACAGAAGAAATTTCACCAGTTGGGAATGAAAGAGTTTTTACAGTTACACCAAACAGTTTGAAGGTAATGTGAATAGCAGCAGTCATTTCCTGTTTGGTTTATGTAAACCTGGCTAGATAGCTTGTTGAGAAATTTTTCATCAATATTGAAATGCTGCTGCTGTAACTGTCAGTCCTGGAAGTCATTTCGTTATAGCACTGTGTATTTTATGTTCAGATTATGCAGCAGTAATCATGACACAAACAATGAAAGTGGCTGTAGGACAGCTCAGACTACTACAACATCTTCACTCTAGAAATACTGAAAAGCTTTCTGAGGTGGGGGGAACAGAGTACAACTGAAAATACTAATTGCATCCAGAACTCAATTTTTAATATATCACAGTTTATGACAGCACCAGTGTGTGTTTATATGTGTGCATTAGAACAGCGAATGTACATGAGTGTACATTCATATTTATACATAATTATACTTCTATGCATGGATATGCATTCATATGTATGCAACATATATAACACACAGAATATAAACAGACATACAGTTAGCAACCTAAGAGCAAGGGGTGAAAACTATCAACATTAGTTTTACTGTTGGTGTGGTGTGAAGGCACTGTACAAGAGTATGGTTACCTGAAGGTGGTTAGAGAATTTGGCATGCATTCATCCATAACTATACTTAGAATGTAGTCTTTATTTTCAAGTAAGTCTGTCTTTTTGTTACACATTGATCTAAACAGGCAGTTTGTAGATGTCCCCCTCCCATCCTAGAGATGTCAGTTTATGTATTATTAGATGTTAGGAAATACTATGAAAAAATAAAATTACATATTGTATAAACTTCGTTTGAGGCAAAGATTTTGGATTTCCTAAAATTGTTACTAGATGTGAAAATAAGCAGGAAAAACTTCCCAGTTGCCTTATCTCTTGTATCCTTGTTTGCTTATGATTTTAACACAGATAACAATAACAAAAATATAATCAAGAACCATTTACTAGAATGTACAGAAAAAGGGGTACATGTGCACACCTGGTAAAAATGTAAACTAGTATAACCATTTTGAAAAATTGTAAATGTTCTTCACAAAACTAAAAACAGAATTACAACATGATCTAGTAATTTTACTACAAGTCATACATAGGAATTGAAATTAGTATGATGAAGAGATATTTGTGTACCCATATTCACTATGACATTATTCATCATAGTCAGTATAGAGAAGCAAGCCAATGCCCATCAACTGTTGAATGGACAAAAAGAATAGTATATATACACATAATGGACTATTACTCAGTCTTAATATAGAATCTGCATTTGTAACAACATGGATGAGTATGGAGGATACTATGCTAAGAGAAATTGGCCAGACACTGACAGGCAAATTCTGCACGATCTCACTTACATGGGGAA